CTCTAAAATATTTCCTGGTGCAAGTGTTAATTTATTTACAACAAAAAAATTGGAATTTTCATTTTGAAACTGTGGATATATCTAACGCCTGCAGTAAAAGAAACAATCTGTCGATTTTTGGTCGTGTAACAAAAATGACGACCTAGTATCATGGCTTATTTTTTGTCTCAAGGAACTTGGTATATAATAAACTTACCAGTATGACAATACATGTTCATGGATTTTTCTCTGTGTATTTATCAATCCTAATGTACAACAACTACCTTTATTTTGTCTTTTATTTTCCAAATGACTTGTGTTAAATAAATTGCGTCTGGTGCTTCAAGGCACACAATGCAGGCTTTAAAACGCATGTTTAATGTAGAGATCGCTTCTTGTTGAACTTATCTGGGGAAGATTAAAACTTTTAAAACATAAAATAACGGACAAATGTCCCTTGCTCATCTAGTGGGCCATCTTGACACAGCTTGAAAAGAGCGACAATCACGGCGCAGGGTCAGGGGAAAGAATAGCGTGTATGGAAGACCTCCGCTTAGACGCAAGTTTTGATATTTGGCTTTTTCCAAAATTGTTCAAAAGTTATGGCTAGTGTCAAGAAAGGAAGATTAATGGTTGGTAGATGGTGGGACATGCAGTTAACCCGGGATAATTCGTTAAATATGAATCATTCTTTGGGTACCTTTGACTTACCCTCTACCAGGGTTGAGACACTTGAACTTGTACGTAGGTCACCGAAATTGGCATGCTTTTAAATAACTTGCTTTTGAAATAATCGTATCATAAAAAAGTCAACAAAATAAGTGCTCAGTACTCGATACCTGGATGCTTACGTGACTCGACTGCAGTCGTATTAATATGTCACGGTTATGCCAAAGAATACCAAACACCTGTTCAATACGTCCGAAGAGGTTGTCGGCTTTTGGAAGCCAACCTAGCCTTAAAGACCCCTTAATAACACAAAAAAGTTCATTGAAGTGATAAAAGGCTTGCGTAAAATGTGTGGAAGCTCTTATTTTTATATATCCCAAGAAATGTGTTAGAACAACTCCACATTAGTTATATTCGCGCTGATGTTGAAATATTTAACACCATGACTAAGGCATAAACAATCCCCTCAACCCAGTTACGATTTTCCTCATTTTGCAATTGTGGTACCATCTTTATGACCCACTTATAAAAAAGTAATTACTTGTAATTGCATGTGATACTACATTAAAATGGGCTTTCGCCTAATAGTTGTGAAACACAAGAAACAACATACAACTGAGCATAAATTTGTCCGTGTTTATTTTCTTATGTCGATTCGCTCGTTTTGCGTTTTGCTGGATAGGCGGGGGTGGGGGGGGGGGGAGATAGACGTTAAATAAGGGCACGTGGACGCCATTTCTTCTGGCCATCAGTTGTCATTTTTACCTCAAAAATCATATACTGTAAAGTCATATACTGTCTATACTGCATGCTTGTCATTTACTTGTTATTCACTTCGCCGAAGCAAAGTTAACTACTTTTACATTCCATGAAATTAATTTCAGTTATAAAGACAACTTTTTTGAACACATATCGTAACACCGGTACATGTATTTAGGGTGACGAAAATACGTAGAAGTTTTCTTGTTTATTTCAGGTAAACCGTGCTTGACTGCAGACGCTGACCTTTGTGTGTACGCCCAGCTTAAGCCGGGCACATGAGGTATTCCTCTTTGTTATGCAAAGTATAAGTGCTCGTCGTCATACAGGATTTTTTTCGTCATAATCCAAACAGGTTCAGTTCGTGCCTTGTCAAATAAGGGAAGTACATTTGCCCTTGCGAGACCTCTAATGCAAGATGTCGGATACAAGGAGCGACAGTAATGTCGATCTTGTGACGAGAACCAACCAGTTGGAAGGTAATTCTGCCTTAAGAAAAAACATTGGGATAAATGTTAAAGATACGAATTTAATTCGCGTTTCTTGTGAAGTCACTGAGCATGATCTTATGCTCTGGTGAGCATGCAAAGATGGATGTTAAATTGGTTTAATTCAGTAGGAATGATTACAGATGAGGTACAGTGAACTTAAATTTATACGTGTCACTAAAAAAGTTCAATTTCATGTACAAGCTCATGGAGCTCATAAATATTTATAATGATTTTCTGTAATAATACAGAAGGGCGCTGAACCCACGCCAAGGGGAGGAGGTGGTTTAAGGGTTGGCTTTGCATCCGCAGACCCCCCCCCCCCCCGCCCTTCACATAATCCTGGATATGCCCCTGTATAGGTATTCCTAATATTGAGCTAATTTCTTTGATCTCATCTTTTCCAGTCCCTCGGTTGCTGACAATAACAATAGTGATATCTGGAATGATTGCGATAGTTGCGCTCATCATCTCAGCCGTCGCAATCTCCAAACCCGCCAGCTCTGACATTACAGTCCAGGGTACAACGACAAATATTCAGCAAACTCAGCCTGCAGTTGCAGCCAGTACCTATGACGCCAGCCGGTATCAGTCCTCCAACAAAAAGAGGATTTACACAATTGCCGTGGGATTCGGATCTGGGGGTTTTGAATATTAGTAAGTAAAAGCATAAACATACTGTAACTGGCAAAATCAAATAGTAAGAGTTTGTTGTCATTTTGCTTTTTATTTGTGTGTGTGTGTGTGAAAAAGAGAGAGAGAGAGAGAGAGAGAGAGAGAGCGAAAAATATAAGCACCTGTAAAACTACTAGTATGCATCATAAGATGGCGAATTTCATCAACCATGGCCAATTTTCATTTCAGTGACGCCAGTGGATTTAAAGTTGGTTTTTTTCATGATGTAATAGACGCAGGTAATCTTTATTTACTTTTATACTTTTCATTGATTTGTAGTAAGGCATATTTTGATAAGAATAGAGCTGCAGTTTATATTGTTATGTAAATCACCTATTAAATGAAGACACTGACTTATTAATTAATTTTAGTGTGCCTGGAGGCGAATATGGATTGTAGGACGGTCACGGAGCCATACACCAACTGTGTGATCTCGGAGAGAGGACAGCCGCAGCGAGGGGGGATAGGTAAGGGTGATTTTTTTATATCACAACAATGTCCCTTTGAATGCATTTCATTTTTCTCTCTCTCTTTACATTGAGAAAACACTATAGGCAATAATGTTTTGAATGATTAAATAAAATGAAATTAACATATTTGAAGTAGTTCGAGAAAATTATTAGGAGGGCGATCTAATTCCGTGTCATGGTGTATTCCTTGTCTTTACTTGCCCCCTTGCTTTTAATAAGACGTATTCTTAAGGATTCTACCAATGATATTTAATTTTTACTTCAAGCAAATATAAATACCCATTTAGAGGCGTTTATTTTATTAGATTGGTATTTCTAAGCCGAGTGCAAATCTTTTCGTTCAACTCTACTTTGTTTTTGACTGTGCTTTGGGATATAATAGGCTATTGTGTTTTGGGGATTATTTTTTATTCGTGTAAGAATACTTTGTATTACCTTTGGGTTACTACTAGGATTCAAAATGGATCCAGGTTCGGATCCTGATTTTTTTAAGAGGGGTCCGGTTTTTTATGGATTGACAGGCCTCGCATTGCGAGGCCCCCCTTACCCCCTCGACGCCAGGTTTGGGGCACGCTCGAGAGCCCAAAAAATTGGTGTTTTGGAGGGCAAATGGCGCCATTTGGTACAGTTTAGAACTATAATTCAGCTAGACGTTTTTTTTTGTGCGTTTTTTATCAGAAATCGAAGGGGGGGGGTCAGGACCCCCCCTCCGACACTCCCTAATCCGTCACTGATGTATATCACCGTTCCTAAGCATAACTTTATACATTGCATCGATGGTCTAATTTTCTAAAAAATATTTATTACGTTATCATTGAAACTGATAAACAGTAATTCTCCTGTTATGTGTTTTTGTGAAATGTACGTTATAAACACTTTTGTGTGATAAAAAAATTTGATTGATAAACCAATTTCAGAAATTGAGGTAACGTTTTAGACAACTCTTCTATAAAAGTACAATTTCAGGACTTATGTCGGGTTGGTACGACGCCTGCACCGGATGGCTGGCCACTCGTCAACGAAAGCAGTTCTCCGCATTTTCCAAGCCGTTTCTGAAACCACCCGAAGCCTATTTCTACGCGCTTTCTGGATTTAATACACTGGATATCACTGGGAAGAAAGTTGGTGAGTTATCTGCATTTTGACATAAATGAAGGTGATTTTAATTGGATTTTCTCCTAGCTACCATATGTAGTTTCATTTCATTTCTTGAAAATCTGGGTGCCAAACACTTAAGAGTCTTCGATAGAGGTTCCGTACGTTGACATGTGTCTCTCTCTATGGTGCCATGTCTTTTAGTCGATACGACACTCGACGACTTATGATGCCAGTTTCAGCGCTGTTGCGTCCCGTATTTTTCATTGTGTTGATTCCTTTATTGGTTAAGGAACAGGACTGCCTTTAGCTTTCTTGCCAGGAACCTTTCCCGCCGGGTTGATGTCTCTGAGTTTGCCTTTCCTGATGACATGACTGGTGAATGTTGTGTCTTTCCTTGAAAATTCCAAGGAGTTGTCTGTCTTGTCCAACTCGCTCGAGCACCAAGATCTTATAACCATGTGCAGTTTATGACATACGCAACATTCGCCGGTAGGACCACATTTCTGCGGCCTATTGGGCCATTCAGAATGAGAGGATCCGAGTGCTAACTGGTCCACGGCCTACATATGGCGGACCTACATGAAAGGAAGACCGCTTAATCCTGTAATGGTCTTTCCGCCTCCCCACGCTTCGTCCCTGCAGGGACACAGTAATTAAATCTCGGCTCCATTCGACCAGACGCGTGGGGAGGCGTGTCAGAGGCGGAGAGACCACTACAGGATTAAGCGGTCTTCCTTTCATGTAGGTCCGCCATATTTAAGCTGTGAACCAGTGAGCACTCGGATCTTCTCATTCTGAATGGCCCTCATGTGTCCTTGGTTGTTGCAGTCGAGAGAGGCCATGCCACACCACCGTACAAAAGAACAGACCAAACAAAACGTTTGAGAACATGTATGCTGACTCTTTACAGGACTGGTAAGCGGTTGGTTCACTAACGAAGCCTGCCTAGCCGGACTGGACCAGGTGACTGGCAGAGACGTCCCGCACGGCAACGTTTTCCATGCACAGACGCCCGCCGAGCTCTTGGCTATGATCCAGAACAGAACTGTGAGTGTCTTGCTTATGTTACCAGTTTTATAATGTTATATTTTAATATTTGATCATTCTCACAGCATCCTAGCCCTTTATCCCTACCCTTTTTAATTATTGCAAAAGGATTCATTCTGTTTATAAGCATGAAATAAAAAACAGGAAACACTTCATTTTTATGTCTTAATCGTATGATTTTTAAAATTAAAAATATCTTCAGGACTAAGAAGTCGAATAATAGGCGCAAAATGTTGATCGTTCTTTTGATATTTTTCTTCTGGTGTCCAGTTTCAGATTTGCCTTTGTCATTCATTCAAAAATACTATATTCGAGAAAGTACTGTGAATATCAGCGGATAAATATATTTGGTCACATATATTTGTTGACAAATTTTGACGCTTACTGATTTTTCGAGAGGCGGTCATGTGAAGTTAGTTTATTTTAATTGACCTCTTAGTCAACTTGTTCGCCATCTTGAATATCACTGCCACTGCATGAGGTAGATGTACGTCTTCAAGAAGTTCTCAGTGCCTCAGTTGTGTTCTGTTATCTTCAAAATTCGTGTTCATGTAGCAAAGCTGTAATAGACTTTGTGTTCCCTCAACTACATGTAGAATATATGATTTCCCGTGTACCGTGATAGAGAGTTCCCCATGACAGAGAGTCCGCTTCTCATTCATTTGTACAGGGAAGCCTCGCCCTTGATTTTGACCCATTAAGTCATACTAACCCTAGCCATTATAACTATATGGAGGGCGGACTTTCTGTAACACAGACCCTCAGTTTCGTTACACCGGCGCCGATCATCCCAACTTCTGGTTTACAAGAGGTGACCTCAACGTCATTAATTTGCATCGAAGCGTACCTTCTCTCGATCTCGAGTTTTGATGTTTTTACAGCAATCATTTATATATTTGCATTCCATAATCTTACAGGTAGACGTGGGTTTTACAACAGCGTCAGTTATGACCGACAGAATCTCTGGCACTAATGTCCAACAATACCCAACGGACCCCATCTTCTGTAAGAATGTCGGAGAACAAGGAATGATGACCCGTAAAGACAATGATTTTAACTCCAAATGGAATGAAGGGTTTGAGAAACTAGTTTCTTCAGGTCGCTTCAAACGGCTATGTGATGAAGCACAAACCAAGCACGGTAAGTTGGTAACTTTGTTGATAAAGAATATCAGAGAATTAATTTAGTCATTCGCCATTGCTAGGCATGTAAATAATAACTTAGTACCTCTTAACATGATAATGCGTGTGATGATAACGCAAATCAAGGTTAAAAAATGCAGGCAATATCGCCTGGATAAGCCACGAGAGGCGCTGATTCCAAGACAAACAAACAGCGTCAGCGGTTCATTTTTTTACAGTCAAGCTCTACCACAACATAACAACAGGGTGCATGATCTTTGCATAATACAACATAATGTGTACGTAGGAAGAAGTAGTCAAATTAAGGTACCGGGAACGTAGTACCAGTATTGCTTGACAGAAACCTCTTTCCAGTGTCACATAACTATTGTCTCATGTTGTCTCAACAGGTGGACGAGGTAAAATCAACTGTGTGGATGCCTAAACCACAGAACAAGGCGTCCGTAACCTTGACATTGATGAATTATTCGTAGAACAAGGCATCCGTAACTTTCACCTTTATGGAATAAACACATAACTAAGCATCCAGAACCTCGACCAAGATGGATAAACCACAATGCGCCTGACATTCACCTGGGTGGTTGATCAACTCAAGGCATTCGTAACTTTCGCTTTATATATGTGTGTGTGTGTGTGTGTGTGTGTGTGTGTGAACTTCAGTGTTTATTACCGGTATTCGTAACATTCACTTTTTTGTTTTATATCTGAACTATTTGCTTGTATTTCTATTTTTAGTTATCAAATAGTTTATATGATGTACCTTTGTATGAATTCCACTCATTTTTATCGGGGCACTACCGAAAGAAAACAAATATGTAGTGTAATTTATATCTAACACACAGTTAAAGTAAAATCTTTTTTATTTTCATGCACCTCGTGTTGAACGAAGGGTAATTTTAGTAACGTGGTCATGTATAACAAAAGCCCGTGATTCGGCATCACATGGTAACACTTCACAAACATATAACTCTGTTTTGATTATAGTAGCTAACTGATTTTGTACTAACGTACGCAGTTGCGCATCATCACACTTTGACTGCTAATTTGAACAGAACTCGTTCTTCACGCAGAGACCCCTTTGTTCACGTTCAAACCGCAACATTTGCAGGACCATAAGCTACGAGGGGTTGTGGGAATTGGCAGTGGCGTTTTTTCTTACCCTTAGCCAGTGATAGCCTTGTCCTTTCTCTCAGTCCAGAGAGACCCGCGCGGACGACTTTTACTTTCCCTCCAGCCAACGTCTAGAAGAAAACTTCAGACGGTACAAACAACCTGCTAGAATTTTATTTCTATATTATTATTGTTATTGTTAATGTTTGTTTCACCGATGTAAAGAATAAATTGATGTTTAACGCCTCAGAAAATTAAAAAAAACTCTTTAATGTTTTTAATTACTCAATAAATAGCTTGGGGCTACTTTCATGGTGTTGCCGTTTATTATTATTTTTTAATTGAAAAACCTTCGTTACATTGCACTGTGCGGCACAGGTCATAAGTTTTAGATATTTGATGGTTTATTGCATTATTTGAACCATTAATATAATCTTCAATTCAGTATCATCCATTATTAGGAAGACAATATTGAAACAGGACACAGTTAAATGATTTGCACAAAACATGGTAAAATAGATTCTCTTGGAAAGTAAATTGCAAACCCTTCGTTACCAGTCATACTGAAAAAATATACTTGATGTTGAGGACAAAATGTGTGAGTGAAGTAAACCTGCATCTCGTTTTACCCCTTTGGCAAAGTCTAATTTTTGTTATTATCAACAACGTGTGGATAGTACCTAAAGGGTTGTTAATTTTATAACCTAAATAGGCTAAAACCTTCGTTACTGAATACGAAAATTCCCCATACTCACAAGGCATGAATTTATAATTTTCAGTGATGTACACAAAAAGCCAGATTTATCACTTCCTGTCACCAGAGATTTAGAAAAAGTAGAATTCGCGAATTTATCTTTAACGTCATTTTTCACTTTTTTTTTCAAATAAACCGATATATCATGAATGAGTGATAGTGCCCGGAGCGCGTCCACAATCGACCTACAAAATAGCAAAGGCCACTGAAAGCAAAAACAGTCCAGATAGATTAAGAGCCCTTTACGTTCAAGCAAAAGTGAATCCGAATGTTAAAAAAATGTAATTATAAAAACATGCAAAGTCGCCTTTCGAGAAAACTTAAATTCAGTAAACGAAGCCTCGCGGTACATCTTGCATATATGACTGTGAAATCAAGTTTGTAGTCTGACGCTGCGCCGGATAAAAGAATATGATTGAACTACCGATTGTAGCATGAAATAAAGAGTCAAATACGCCAAGTTCTTATTTGAATTCCACGCTATCCGTTCCGGTCCAGTAAGTTTGCAGAAACTCCGCTGAAAAACCTCATATTTGTTTTAGTATAATACGTGGCAATGAAAGTACACTACACAGGTCAAATCTTATAATATTACACGCGAAAAAAAAAGCAATTTTCTCCTCACAAACCATTGCTCAACCTTTAATTTGATATGTTGTCCCAGTGCTGTTTAGAAAAAAACTTAGACGGCCTTGTCTAACTGATTTTTGAAAATTATATGTCGACATTACATACTTTTATTTGAGGGGTTTGGCTGATTTACAGGACTGAATAGGGAACGATAAAAGTTTTGCAGGATATTCAGACAAAATACTTTGGGACTTTTTCAAGCATGTATTGTTTACCTCCAATAGTAATTTTTGTTTGAATTATAAGCCGATTTTTATTTTTACTTCGACCTCCATTCATCTTGCGTGACAACGCATCGTTAAACAATGAAGGTCAACGTCGCAAGAAACGTTACGCCTTCGGAAAAGTAATGTGACGTCATAAGTAATGTGACGACAACAATTCCGTAGTTACAAAGTCAACATGGAAATGCGCAGATATATATTTCCATTATGTCGATATTACGATTATCTACATTACTAATTCTCAGTTTTACTTGTGTTTGTATGTTGCATTGTCTCCAGAAATATGAGAGGTACGTACATTTTTCTGTATAGACTGTCTTCTTAAATTCAACGAACGAAAACAATGTAAAAATCTTTCGCGCTCGTATGCTGCCTTCACCTGCACATCAAAATATCTGATAAGGCTTTCAATAGAGTAACTTTGATTTGATTTGATTTAATCAGTGTAAAATATGTTGTTTGATATTCTTGCACTCAAGATGATACCTATTTGTTTCCTTTGTATAAATGAATGTAAACTTATTTACAGCAACACCGAAGGTCAAACCCTGGAGATTAACCTTAACATATCGGGTGGAGTTACTGGAGACAATTGTCCAAACGAATACCTAAATCATAAGAGACTTCTGACAGAACCGAGGGAAGGTCACCCATGGTTTATGAGAACAACAACGAGAAGGAGGACCGGTATCAGTAGACCTCTCTTCAGCACAGACTTGGATGAAGAAATCACTGAAAATAAATCACCTCCATCAAACCGTATTGGTGAAACAACCAGGGCCGGGAATAAAACTTACACTAGTAAGTGTATTTTTTTTAATTGAATTCATCTTCGGACATGTTTTAAATGTTTCCACCAGCGTAAGCGCAGGCGGGTTTGTGCTCGATTAGTACAATATTCAAAACTTATAAATTTAATAGATTATTTTCAAAAGTGCCATAAATTGATACCACGCCTAAACACGTAGGACCATAATGACGAGATGCAATGAACTTTCGATCGGACCGTGCGGCATATCGAAATTGCCTGAGAAAATTAAAACGATTTAGGAAACAGAGCTGGATGCAATTGAAATTCGTCTCAATGTAATGGTATGCGTTGATAAATTTTACCTAATCACTCTATCGATTCATGAAAATGTCAAATATTCTATTTCAGACCGTAGGTGGAATGTCTCACACTTCAAGTCTGTAGCTCTCTCGGTCTATCATGATGCGATTCAAATCATCACTGACGTCAAATGCAAGATCCACGATCACTTTGCTATTTTCGAAGACAATTTTCATGGATTGCTCATTGACTGCTACGACAAAGTTCAGACGAAAAAAGCAGTAATAGGTAAGTTGGGGGTCTTGAACTACTTCGTAGGGCGTCACATCGACTAATTATCTAAGAAATTTCAATTGGAATTTAACAGAAAAGTGTTCAAATTTTTAATAATGTCAATCGTGGATGCAATTGAAATTCGTCTCAAAGTAATGATTTGCGTTGATAAATTTTACCTAATCACTCTATCGATTCATGAAAATGTCAAATATTCTATTTCAGACCGTGGGTGGAATGTCTCACACTTCAAGTCTGTAGCTCTCTCGGTCTATCATGATGCGATTCAAATCATCACTGACGTCAAATGGAAGATCCACGATCACTTTGCTATTTTCGGAGACAATTTTCATGGATTGCTCATTGACTGCTATGACAAAGTTCAGACGAAAAAAGCAGTAATAGGTAAGTTGGGCGTCTTGGACTACTTCGTAGGGCGTCACATCGACTAATTATCTAAGAAATTTCAATTGGAATTTAACAGAAAAGTGTTCAAATTTTTAATAATGTCCATCAGGTTTTGATTCAATGTCACTTCGTATGCTCATTTGATTTAACAGATGGCGACAAACCGTTTTTGATCCAAAATTTATGCAGTTGAATTTTATTCGTTTCTTTGTTTATTAATTTAATCTTTGTTCGTTTCAGCTCATAAATTTTTAGAGGCTATCGAAGGCAGCAAGAAGTCTGCAGAAAGAGCATTCAGGTCATTCAAGGACGGGCTTGTGGAACACATTGACAATGGCATCGCTCGAGTGCGCCTCTACTTCGTTCCTGAGTCTCCCGTGGAACGAAAGTGCAAAGGATATTCCAACTGGTACGCAAAGAGCGCGTGCACGCTTTTGTTCCAAGCTGCTGAATACCCTCCACAACTTGTCTCCACTCTGGCGGAAGGATACGACAGATTTTTCGAAGTTACCATAAGGCTCTTCGTGCGTGAGACGCACAAAGATAAGGTCTGCAAAGGCTACGACACCGTGCCGTTCCTTCGGAAAGTCTGTGAGACAGGATTTGATGTGGCGTCAACGGCGAACGAAATCCTAGAGAACGCCCAAGAATTCCTCAGTAAATGTATTGCACAGCCAGCCTTGGACTTTACCCAGACGGTCATCGCATCTATAACAGACTGTGTATGGAAAGTTAAAGAGGGGTTTGCAAGAGCCTGCCACAATGGGATGAACCTGGGAAATAAAATTACAACTTACCTGTATCAGGGCTTGGACGTCGAAGCGGCTAAAGGTAGGTACAACATACAAAATGGAAATCACCTACACAATTTAGGTTAAGAATATCCCCCTTTGAACTTGGACGAATAAAACAATTCATTTGTCAAAGCTTTGAAACACACTAACCAAAATACTTTCAATTTATCAATTTTCCATAACTAATATATCTTCAATTCTAAAACCGTTTTATAAAAATATCGTTATTAGGCACATACAGAAATTGAAACATTGTCTTTCTTTATTTTCAGCACTTCTCTATTCTGTGTTGAAGAAGGCTGCATACAAGGTCCATGACGTCTACGTACGTCTTCCCCGCTTCAATGGTGATCCCATACATGATGGGCTGGTGGTTGTAGCCTGGGTGGTGTGTGCCCTAGCCCAGGGGTTGGTGGTCTACTGGGCCAGGAGGAAGATCAGTCTAGGTAAAACATCCAGTGTTTACTGAAGTAGCCAATGATGTATTCACACGCGATTGATAACTATTCCACGCTATTTTTATTGGTTTTTAAAAGCTCGCGTGTTTGTTATTAATGGCAACATAAACTATTTAGCCACAAATTAAAAGGCCATCGTGATCGAAGCATATGCGGTCTATAACTGGCATATTTTATTTGTACGTTTTACAGCATTTATTAGAGTATACTGTCTTTCTAGATAACAACGTAAGAAAGGCCCGTCAAATGCGAGTTCGTTTCTCCCATCCCACCTCATCAGAAGATTACTATGACAGGATTGCGAGACTTATTAGACAGCAGGAGCAGGAGGAGGAAGATGCAGAATGCAGAGAAGCAGAATTACCCAATGCAACCGAGAGCCTTCAAAATATAAATGCCACCACTGGTGTTATTGACAATGATGACAAGAACGGGGCCAACCCAGTCGACGATTTAGTTGACGATTCCGGCGTGTGGGCAGACATGTCTTTAGGACAGATCGAGGAGGAGGAGGAGGAGGAGGAGGAGGAGGAGGAGACACCAACGGTATCAGCGCCCTCTATGGCCCAAGAAGAGTCAAGGGCAATGAAAGAGAAGCAGTCCCGCCTTCCTTCTAAACCAGAGGATAACGCACCGCTGCTGGACCTGGAAGATGAGACGGACGTGGAGAACAAAGAGGTGCAGTTCGAGGACACGCAAGATAAAGAACAAAACACGCCGGGAAATGCTTATGGAGAGGAGCTACAGAGCCCCACCGATGCAGTAAAGGACAGCGGAGGAGAGTTTCAAAAGTCAGCAGCCTCTGCAATTATCCAGCAGCCACAGAGTGTACCCAAAACAGGTGCCTCATCTCAGATGGATGAGAACAACAGTGAAACAGAAAGTGACGACAGTGAACGCCCCATTGAGGTAAGTTAATGTTTTGTTTGCGTGGTTGTTTCTGTGAGTATTAGGCTCAAAAATGTTATTTTTAACTTGTCATTTTTTTATCTTAAACGTTTAAAATTGCTTATTATGGAAGCAAATAATGTGGTTTTTGCAGAAACATAAGCAATTTGATAGGCACGTCGTTTTTTTTTAATCCACTCCTAATAAGCTTCACTAACGAGTGACAAGCTGCATAAGGCATCCTCGCTCTCGAGTTACAAAGTAATCGATACGTTCTTTAAAAAAACGAGGAGAACAGAAATCTAATTTTATTGAAAATAGTTTCAGGAAAGCAAGGAGCCTCCGATGAGCTGTTCCCCGGATGTCAACACGGATGAGACTAACGGAAAGTTGATCATCGCCGAGACATTAAACCAAACTGACGGACGTGACCTCCCGACTCCTCAGCCAACTCAGGCCAACCGCAGGGGCGGCGGTTGGTGGTCCAGAATCGGCCATGCCGCTTGGGTTGTGTTCAGATACATTTTGGAGCGCCCAGAGCTTTTCTGATTTTGTTTTGACTGCCGTTTTGAAATGATCATTTCGTGTTGTTTTTTTTTTTTTCAACTTAACGTCATACCTTAATGGCTTAGATTTAGCAGAATAAATCATATTCAAGAAGGAATCATGTACAGAAATTTACCATGAACATTTACTTTAAAGCTCTGAGAAAGTATGGCAAGTTTAACTACCTGATTTTTACAGTAAAACCCTGGAGAAATGTTTTTGCTTCATGCTTGAGAACCATTGTATTCTGAAGTCCGAAATTAATTTTAGAGCGCCGTTAGAATAATTTCGTGGCTCGAATTTGTGACGGCCGTACCTGTGTTTTTTAATTACAGTGAATAATGAGCTATTTAATCACATTTATATCACAATATTTATTTATTTTGAAATCACACGTGAGATTTTTAAAACAATTCAATGTAGCATTATATATCCTCTTAAATGACAACTTTGAATTAGAAAATAAATGTTTTTAATCTACATGCGTTCATTAATTAGCAATATTTAAGCTGAAGGCCAGCAAATGCTTTGAACCCGGACACATATTAATTTTAAAATAAATAATCTATTTTTGGTAATGAATGCAGGGGTACGTCCACGGGAACTTTGAATAAATGACGTGGCCACATTCACGTATAAAATGTCTAAAAAGTTGTTAATCTTTAAATTAATTTTTTTAGTAACTATGTACACGTATACGTCCTGTTTATTATTTTGAATAGTCTGAAATGATCTAATGTCCATCTCCTTGTTAAAAAAATACAGTTAATTTCATCGTAGAAGCATGTTAACAATACTTGAAGTTATGACACAAATATCTAACTTAACTTTCTTTTTCTAATATGTAAGTATAAAATCTCAAACCCATCTCATCTTATATGATGCGTTATGCTTGTCCTCGCATTGGTAAAAAAATCTTAATCTAGGATATGACTGTATCTGAGGCTTTGGCGCGGCGTTCACGCTTCAGTGCAATCCGACAGTTCACCAAGGTTCTCTGAAAGAAGGAAGCAAACATGTAGCAAACATGCCGTAAGATAAAATAACGAATATATATAAATAACGAATATACAGAAAATACATGTATACAAACCATAATCAATACACTAAATGGTTACCTGTTGTTTATGTATCTTAGTTTACATTACTCTGTTTCAAGCGTTCATTCGCAATGGCAAGTCCTGGATAGGTTCAGGTGTCGATGTACCCTCTTC